AGCGCCCTCTCTCCACCAGGGCCGGGAAGGGCCTTGCCGGGGCTCAGCCTTTCCCTCCCAGGAGGAGGTGCCCAGTCCTGCGGAGAGTTGCCAGCCGCCCCGGCACACTCCAGGATCTGGGGACGTCTCCCTGGAGCTCCTTGCTGGGAGCACCGAGGCATCAGAGCGCAGTGAGTGGGGTGAGGCTGGGGAAGGAGTCAGGCATGGGGGCCGTGGGCTGATGGGGTGTGCGCTCTCCGGGCAGGTGTGGATCCTGTGTCAGGGGGAGACATCTGGAAGCGGATTTTCCAGCCGTCCTACATCCAGGAGCAGTATGTCCTGACACACTGCTCCGTCAGCACCGACCGCAGCCGGGGACTGCTCTCCTGCAGCTCCACCAGCAGCGAGTCCACAGGTTCCCGTGATGTGGCTCCCGAGGCCCCAGGCACTGATGCCACCTCCCAGCAGGGCCAGAAGAGCCTGTCCATCTGTGAGTCCTCCACCAAATCTGCTCCACTGCCCTCTGCCCCAGCTGGCACCAAGGTAAGGATGCCAATGGGGTGCAACAGCTCACGCATGGGGGAGTTGCTGCCAGCTCACGTAGGGTCTCGTTGCTCCACCGTGGCTGGACACATGGCTGCCAGGCTGGAAACCGGAGTACTGCAGCCTGGATTCGAAGCAAGGATCAGCTGTGGGTGCCACAAAGAGGCTCCTCAGGTGGTTTTGCCCTACTGGAATGGGACAGCTGGGGACCAAAGAGGTGGTCTCCCAGCTTCTCCAGCCAGTAGTCAGCTAGGTGACTAACAAACCCCATGGCCAGCTCAGTTCCTCAGTGATGCTGCAGAAATCAAGTGAAAATAGCTGGGCCAGCACCAGGTAACAAGCCTGCCAAGCTGGAGAGGAGGGAGTGAGCTGGCTAAGCTCCTGTGTGGCTCCTTTGGTCCTCTGCCAATGCCACCTGATGCTTCATTAGCGATTGGTCACATCCCTGCTGTTTCATACTTGGGTTTAACACCCAGCCAGGTCACTGGGATGGGGAGAGGCAGCTCCCTGGGTGATGATGGTCCCGAGGCCAGGTGAGGCCAGCTGTCACCCAGCTCCAGGACACGCTCCTTCCTGGTGACATGGAGCTCCTGCTGCACACAGCACAGCTGGTCGCCTTTGCTGCTGAAATGTCAAGCGTAAGTGATTTCCTTGCAGCGTAAATGATCCTCTCCCAGCTCCCTGCTGATGGGGCAAGAGGTGGCATGGGTGCTGCTGCCCTGCCATAGCTTTACGTGAAGCACCTCATTGTGGGGACATCACTCTGTGCTGGGATGCATCCCACTGTAGCATCTTCCAGCCTGAGCAACAGTGCCAAAACACCCCACACACAGACACAGAAAAATCCCTGCCAACTCCTCCTGCCTGGGCGTCAGCTTGAGTCAGCCCCAGGGATGTTTGCAAACTCCCGTCTGGGTGCCATTGGGCCTTCCCACGTGTACGAGGAGCTTGGCGAGCGTCACCCACCACCCTGGGAGGCTGCC